GTAGTAGAGGAGCAGACAGACAGACAGACACACACACACACACACACACACACACACACACACACACATCTTACAACTCAAGGAGCTGAACATAAATAAAATATTTGAGTAGCCAATTTACCAAAAACATGCAGGACCAACAGCATAGTTCAATAGCAATCTTTACCAAAATAGAAATTCAACTATGAGATAGAACTTTGTACCCATCAAAATGACTATAATGAAACCAGACAATAAAAAAGCAGTAACAAATGTTGGTGGGAATGATGAGAAACTGGTACTCACCCTCATATCTTGTTAGTGGGATATAAAAGCAATCATTTGAAAGAGAGTGAAGTAAGTTTTTTAAAAAAATATTATATATAACTTTACCACCTGACTCAGCAATTCTAGGTATACACATGCTCAAAAGAAATAAAAACATATGTCCACACAGACTTGCATGTAGATACTGAACAGCATTATTCGTAAGAGTTAAAAAGTGGAGCCAGTCCACATATCCACTAGTGTGAGTGAACAAAATACAGCACATTATACAAGGAACTATTTTCAGTAGTAAAAAGTACTGAACTCTTTGACATTTACTTCAGCATGGATAAATTTAAAAACAAGCATTATGCCATTAAAAAAGCCAATTATCAAAGACCACATGCTGTTCGACTCTGTGAATATGAAATATCCAGAAAAAGAAAATCCACAAAGATAGAAAACAGATCAGTGGGAACGAGGGGCCAGGATGGAAATAGAGATCATCTATAAATGAACATTCAGGATCTCTGTGGATGGTGGAGTGGTTGTATAACTTCACTCACTAATCATATCCTTAAAATGGGATTGTAAATTAAACACCGAAATAGGAAAGTTTTCTTATATCCTTACCACACAGAAATAAGCACCGTTAATTTTTAACTTTGTTTTTGCTTGTTATGTAAAAACAAACTGTTCTTGGTCCACATTGGGGAATTTGTACGTCATAAAACTTTTAAAAATAAGAACAATTCTATGCATTTCATAGAATCATGAATGCTAAAACTGAAAGCCTATCTCGTATTATTATTAGGCCTCATTTTATCTGCTTTTGGCTTTCAAATTCCCTTTTAGAAAATAAATTGGTAGAATTACATGATTTTCTTGGCTCTTTGTTGCTTGTTCTAATTGTTCTTTCCTTCATTGTTTTCCCAATTCCTTTAAGAACTACTACTCCAACCTGTTGCTCATGAAAATGATGCATGATTAAAAAAATACAGTACATCCTCCTTTCTTGACTGGGTTGCTCTGTTATGGCTATCTCAATCAATATACAGCATTTACCTTTTATGACTTTGAAGAATCAGAATTTTCCTGATGCCACATTCAATGAACAAGGTAGATGAGAATATGTTTTCAACACTGTGCATTTCCACTGGATGGCACTAAGCAAAGGCACTGTATTTTCTAATCACACCTCAGAGAACTTCCTACTGCTTAGAAAGCAGCACGAATGATGGGATAAGTGTACTTGAAGCAAGGGGGAAGTATTTTGAGGGATTAATGGTAATGTGTCTTTCCCTGTGATAATTTTTAAGATTAGTACATTTGTAGTACATTTACATTCCTTGTGTATCCTGGTACATGTACATAGTGCATCCTAACATTTCCCATATACCGTGACTACTGCTTAGTCAAGCTAAACTTATGAGCTTAATTTGGGCCATATATTTTTCTAATTCCATTTTCCTAAAAATCCTATTGTCCCTCCTTTTCGGGTAAGAAAGTTGAGACTTGATAGGGTTAAGAAACCTTAGTAGACTGGAGTTTACCAGGAGTTGGAGGCAGAGGGGAATAAGGAGTCACTTTTTGCTTAATGGTCAGAGTTCCTGTTTAGAATGCTAAATTTTGGAAATAGATACTGGCAATGACTGAACAACATAATGTACTTATTTATGAGGCTGATTTGTATATTTCGTCCAAAAATATATACATCCAGTTAAAAAGTTAAGAAATTTGCATTATGTCAACATGTTAGGATGCATACTGCATACTCTCACTCATCAACTGAGTACATTCTTTGTTTTGTTTTTTTTGAGACAGGGTCTCACTATGCAGCCCATGCTGGTCTCGAACTCACAGCGATCCTGCTGCCTCAGCCTCCCAAGTACTGGGATTACAGGTGTGCACCACCACACCCGGCTGAGTACATTCTTAACATGAATGTTACTTGTATGTGGACTGCTCCTTGGTAACCCAATGCAATAATGTAAATCTCAGGTACCTAACAGCAAGAAGCCTAGATCTTATCAAATTCTAATAACTCAGAGCTCTTTAAAATCTTAGCAGGTCCTATTTTAATTTACTTCTGAAAATTTAAGACTAAAATTCATTGAGACATCCACAATGTATTCAGTACTAAAACTTGGATCATGCTGAAATTTACTGCACCAGAATTAGACCTCCAGGATGCAAACTGGTTACTTCATAAGGTTTTACCACTACCTTATTTGATGCTTTGTGGGGGTCAGGGCTCTATAGCTCAGCTGATCTAGTCCTTAGTCCCAGTCCCTGTATTTGCCAAAGAAGCACTGACACAGGGTCAGGTCGGATTTAATGTGACAGAATGAGGTCCAGTGAGAGTGACTATTTTTAACCTTGACCTCAAAGGCTATTCTAAACTAGTTTTGGGGAAACTTGCACAGAAAGCTGTTTTCTTAAAAATCTATCGGAATAAAAACTGCGCTCTCAACAAGCTCCTCCTCATCTCTCTATAACTTCAAGGGTGTGAAGATAGACTGGACCAAAGGAAAACTCTCTGAAGGAAAGCCTGAAGACTGTCAGTTTTGGTAAATGCCAAATTGTTCCATATATGGGAAGACATTGAACTGTCACCAGTAGGTAAAAATGAAAGATAAACAAAGGCTTTTCACTTAAAGAACATCTTTATTTGATCTTTAATATACATTACCTTCGATCTGTAAAAATCACATTATGGAGGACATGACTGGAAACCAGTTCAGGAGCAGCCAGTGAGTTCCAATTTAGGTGGTTATGCTTACCCCCACTTAGGGTTAGGGAAAGGTTTCATCAGTGAATTTAAGACCAATGAGAATAAAGAATGGCATTTCAGCTTCTCAATTCTTTAATTAAAATTGGGATGCTTTATTAATCAAGCAGAAACTAACCTCTAAATTTTCTAAAAAAATAATTTTCCCCACAAAGAGCTGAGCTTTATCTTGACAAAATTTTCTAGTATGCAATTTGCAAAGTTCTGTAGCATTCGAATAGCTTCAAAATATTTGCAACTGCTTAAAAGCTTGTAACATAATCAATGTTGATGTATGTATCTGAGTATGAAGACTTACATTCACACTGAGCTAATGCGACCTTAAAAGAGGTCCAGACTTAGAAAGGCAGCTCCTTTGTAATGTGGAAAAGAGATAAAGTATCTCCAGCTCTCTCATTCTGAGTTACAAGTGTCCCTCCCACAGGAATTTCAAAAAATTGAAACATTTGATAAAATTCTTGGTGAAAAATCTATTACAGTATCTGTAATGCCTTGTACACTGCAATGCATACACTACCTAATATGATGTTGCGTAATTCTGTGAGTGATTATGTGATTTTCACAAACGCTGGCTCAAATCAAGTTTGAATGCATTTAGTTGTTAAATAGTAGAAGTATAATGATGTTGAGCTGAGGGTTGTTTTATCTGAAAACGATGCATATTTAGATTCTGAAATAATGTTATGAGCTTGTAAAAGTCTGTGGAGGGTTACACAAGGAAAGAGGAAGGGACTTTTCCTTCCATAAGCCTTTTTTTTTTTTTTCTGTGCTCCTCAGAATCAGGCCATTCCAGAGCTAACAGGGGCTTAACCTTCAGCAGTCTGATGATGGCTGCCAAATGGCAAATGAAGCACATAACACATGTGCTGTCACCTAGAATTTTTCAAGATTGTTTTCGACAGCACCAAGACCAGAAATTCTATGATATTCTTGTCTTAGAGCTCAAATGGTACCAAAATGGATAAATTTCTACAGCTCAAGCAATCCAGAGTCCCAATCCAAGGGTCAGTGAGTAGACAGAATTGGGAGACAAAACAGTATTTTGATGCAAGACCTTTTTTCCACAGAAAATCCAGAGTTACAGCATTGAATAACATGGTGAAGAGAATGTCTGACAGCATATCCATTCAATTTTGCCCCTTTCATAATAAGTCATATTATTCTGAAATCCAAACAGAGTCCACAGAAATACATGTATTTTCTAGACAACAAAACACATAGCTTTCGGTAACACAAATACACACAACTTAACATATACGTTTTTTGCTTTGACAATAAATTTGTAAATTAAGACACATAAAAATGGTGCAGACTAAAGGGCCTTATACAAATTAAATGTGGAGTCATGTCAGCAACTATGATCTGTGGGCCATCTCCAGCCCCCCACCTGCTTTTGCAAATAGAGTTTTACTGGAACACCACTATACGCATTCATTTGTTACCTACAGCTGCTTTCATACTTCAACAGCAGAAATGAGTAATAAGAGGAACTGCATGGCTCACATAGTCTAAAATATTATCTGGTCCTTTAGAGAAAAAGCTTGCTGACTGCATACAGACCAAAATGAACATCTCCATCGTAATATAAATGAGCTAAAGTAACAGAAAATCATCTTCATCAATGTTTTTGAACCAAAATAAGTGGATTAAAATATATCCATATCATATGCAGTTACTTAAATATTTTGCACATAGTCCGTGTGGTTCAAAACCAGTTACTGTGTTTGTGAACTGACAGTTCTGTAAGTTTGTATATCGTACTTATGTATATATCTATATAAAGGGTGGACAGGACAAGGGCTAGCCAATTTGAGGTTAAGGAAACCTAAAGAAATTACCAGGAACTAAGAAATATTTTAGTTTTTCTTTCTATTTAAGAAATATGGGTACCACCATTAGTAGGAAGTATACCAAAACAAAGAGATTTATAACTGCAGGTTTTACCCATGAATTGACAAAAGCTTTTTGAGCATAAAATAACCAGCCTTTCTATAAAATATTGATTTTAATTATACATAAAGCGATATACCAAAATAAGAATGTTTTTATTTCTAAAGTAAATATTTTAGTCAAAGTTGCATCAGTCAAATATTTTTTATCTTTTCCAGATATTTTAGTTATTAACTACAATTACAGTTGTATTATATAGTAACACTTTGTTTAAAATATATTATAAACTTTTTCCTCATTAATTTAAGTGATATATAAAATTAACGATTTTGTAATATGATTCACACTGGAAAACATTTATAATGGTATGAATTACTCTCACACAGAAAATGTCATTGGAATTACATAAAATATTCTAATGCTTGAAGGTACCAGGCACAATGCTTGGCACTTACTCGGTACTCCACAAATGTGTGTTCAGCCATTCTGTCGTTTACTCATGCATTCATTTAAAGAAATTCAAGCTTAAGGAGAAACTACGTTATATTTTAAGAATGGCAAGCACAATCTGATATCAACAAATTTGGAGTCATGACAAAGACTTTGGCAAGGTAAGAGTGGAGAATGTGAGAGGTTGATGATCAAAATTTCAAACGGCTTCGTTAACATCTACCAAGTAAAGCCCTGGGTTGCCCTAGATGACATAATAGAAAAGCAAGGTTAATATCCCATAAAAATGAATTCTTTCAGTATCAGTTTTTACTTCTCCATATAAACAACTGCTCAGATAGGAATAGGATGGTGTTAGGGAGACATTAAGCTGTACAAGCTACCAAAAAGTAAGAACCCTCTGACTGGGGACTTATTTCTCTGCACTGGAACTTCTTTTTGATTATAGGCCTACTCACTTGGTTTTTAACAACTTCACACTGGTTGAATTTCATTCTGGTTGAATTAAGTAAAAATGATTTGAACCAAAAAACGTGACTCTAAAATAAGGTCAAATAAAGGTACAAGGTAGTGCGGGGGTGTGCAACATTCTTATTTTTTTCTTTTATGTATCAAGTGATTAAACTATTCCGCATAACTGTGCCACATGTAAAAGGTGAGAGGTGTCAGCTCTTTGAGGAGTCACCTAGAGAAGAGCATTCCTGCACTTTTTCACAGAGGGTCTTTTACATAAATTTTAAAAATACTGAACCTGAATAATAAGGTCTAAAAATGCAAAAGGCTGTGAAGGACATGAAGATACTTTTGAAACTACACAAAGTATGGGTGAAGACTGATCTTGGAGGAATTTATTTTAACAATCTGTAACAAAAATAAAACATGACAATGGCAAGTTATTTGTATCTGACTTTCACTGCCTTTGGTATTCAGAGAAGAAAAAGCATTGTTACAAGCTCTAGTCCTACCGTCACACAGTAGATAGAAGACCCTTCCATAGTCCTTCTCAAATCCTTCTCTGTACCAGAAATGGCCAAGCTTTTACACTTCCCTGCCCTTTCATAAGGTGCAGTCACGCGGTAACACAGAACACTTGGGGGGGTTCTATCTCCTCTGTGAGGAAAGATGAGCCAAGATGGCACCTGTACTCTGCACTCTCCTAAGCAAGGTGAGAATCTGCCATCTGCACAGCTGTTCTAGGTTATCCGCCAACTCAAGTTTTTTACTGATCTTTTTTCAGTGACTCATAAGTGGACTTGCGCTATTCTTAGAAGCCAGGCTAAATTTTTCTCGGAATCAAATACTTTCCCCTTCCTCTTCTACAGTCACCTACCATTTTCAAAATTTAAAATTTTCAAGTAGCAAAAGACCTCACAATTTCAAAATAGGTGCTAAAACTTAACCCTCTTAAAGATATAACCGGCTTAGCATCCTTATTTTGTGTCCAATGAATAATTCTGGAGTGGCTATCATTTATGGATCACGGGGTGAACTGTGAAGACTGTATGATGACTGCTAGTGTAAGATGATCACCCTGAGAAAATGTTTAATTTGTTAAGTTCTTTCCCAATTTAAATCTACTACATGCTGAGGATTAAATGGAAAAACTCCCATAAGAAGAAACAAGCCTCTAGGATTCCAAAGTGAGCTTCTTGTACAAATTTCTTTCATAAAATATTCAAATTTAGAGTAAATATTAAAGTATACTGTTTCCAACTCTTATTAATGTCAATGGAAGAGGTCTGTATTAAATGAAAAGAGGAAAAAGGGTCTTTCACTGTCATAGAAATTCAAGGAACAGAAAATTTATAAGCCTTAGTATTCATTCTAGTTCTTGATAAAATTTAAGTTCTTTCTGCTAAAATGATAAATAGCAGTATCTTTGAAAAGCAGTATCAATGCAAAATGTATTGAGGGTTAAGAGAAAGTCCTTTAGATAAATTCCATTTTTAGTGTAATTAATTAGTTATCACTGAAAATTATTTTGAAGCTGATTCTTTGCATTTCTATAAATATTCTTGGATAAACTAAAAAATATACTTGTGAATAGCTCATTCATCTGTAAGATAAATAAAGGATCCCATCCCCACCCCAGACAGAAAGCTTAAGGAAGTTTCACTGTGTTTTGCTTTTGCTTTAATAAGTTGTCAAAGTAATTCAGCTTATGGTGGCAAATTCAAAGCTGCATAGTAGAAGAGGGAATTTTGTCAAGTCACAAAGTTGTAAGTTGAGTGACTCTTAACTCTTCAATGAAATTAAAGTGGATAATTGTACTTGGTAGAGTTGTTGGCTTGGAAAAATAATCGCTTACCAACAAAACCAAGGATTTCACTAAGAACAAGTTTCAAGGCAACAAAATGGCATTTTTCCCACTTTTTGTCATGCTACCTACACCAGACTGAACTACATGCACAAAACCCCAAACCCAGGCTCCAAAGATGATAAATAGCAATTTCAATGGTACCTCATGGAGAGAAAGACTTCAAGAGTATTCTTTGTGAGATCATGCCCCCAGTGAATTAAATTTAACTTAGAAATTTCAATGAAATCGATTGGGACTGAAATGGTTGCCAGTCTAGTCATCCAATGGGGAACATGGAAATTCAGACAAGGTTCAGTACTTCTGTTTCTGTTTTGAGTCCTCTTGTATACTGATGTAGTTACAATGTTCTTTTGTTCTTGTTTATTTTAGTTTATTCCATTAATAAAATGGAGAAAAAAAGGGATAAACGTGTGTAAATATTTGATTTGAAAGCTGCTCCACTGTGGGAGGACACAAATATATAATTGGTTCCAAAGGCCATCTCTAACTCCTGCAAGGCGCTCTATGCTCTTGGCTTGCGCTAACAATACAGAAGTGATGTGCGTTGTTTCTCAAGTGACCACCTCATTACGAATCAAAGTACATCAGGTCTCCGACCTATACGTACCAGAACATGTTTTGGTCAGGTAGAAAATGGAATAATTTCAAAGTTGGTGTATCTACATGTTGAAAAGTCTTGCAGGGAAGAGTTTCACCCTGTCACGTTGACTCAGAGGTCCAGGCTTTCAAAAGACGCCTCTCCCTACTTGTTTCTGTAGTAGTCCATGTAAACAAAACACAGGTAAGAATGGTCCTTCTGGAGCTGCTTTCATCGAACAGCAGTACCTGAAAGTGTGGTGTTGGCTAAATGTAACACAGGCAGAGGGTGAGCCTCTGTATTGAACACCCAGTGGTCTAAAGGTAAAAGGTCATCACCAGAAAACAGCAGATACAAGTACCTGAAAATAATAAGAGGAGAAATGAGATTCAATTATAATTCAACAAGAAGATTAAATGAGCTCAGTTATGGTGGCAGAGAAATTCAATGACTTATTTTGAGAAGCTTTGATGAAAACACATCACAGAAATAAACCTTAGTCACCCAAATGATCTAAAACACAAAATGTGTTCCAGACTACAGCTCAAGGAGCCCCAGCAAGGTGCATTTCTAGACCTCCTGAAATAAAAGCTTTTAAAGAAATTATTTATGAGGAACACAAAACAATGCTGCCAGGTGGCAAAAAAAAAACAAACACTACATAATTTTTCAAAGACATTGTCTTAAAATCACACATAATATCAATCATGTTCTGTAGAACAAAAAATTAATTCACACTTAGTAAATACTGAGGGCAATAAGTGAAGTATATGATTCTGTATACAGAAAAGGCATTTATACACTATTCCTCCTGATAGTTGTAGTATCTAGTTTTTGGTATGACAAATTGTTAAGTTTCAGAAACATGAAATCACAAGAGGTTTAATTTTTTCATTAAGTTTATCAATGCATTTTAGGTATACAATAAAACATTCATCATTGGGAATTTGTATCTTTACATGATGTACCTTGGTTCTTATTTTTTCCCCATTCCCTTGACCTCCCTTCAACCCCCCCTCCCTATTTATACAGAGTTTGTTTTCACTTTTTCCTTTTCTCATTTATTCCTTTCTCCTAACCCTCCCACTTCCCCTCCCCTTTGGACCTTTTCTTCATATTTTACAATACCTAGTATATATTTTGATCCTTATTTATACTTTCATTTTCTCCTTAATTATTCTTTTATTTTTGGGGACCAGGAATCAAACTTGGGTCCCACTGAGCTAAATCCCTGGCCCTCTCCATAATTATTCTTAGTAGGTAACAGGATTGTGTATACGAAAATAAGGATCTTAGCCTCTTCAGAAGCACTACAAGCCAGAATAGTCACTTGGAAATTAAAAATGGACACAAAAAATAATTCTTACGTATAATGTCTAGAAAATTACATTCTGAGACCTATCATGGCATCATCAAAATGAACATAAAAAACTAGAGTGCAGGGCTGGGAATGTAGATCAGTGGTACAGCACTTGTCTAACGTGTGAAGCTCTACATTCAATTCCAGCACATTAAAAAACAAAAAATAAACACCCCACAACACTATGGAGTCAGGAAACTTGATCTAACTCTTGATCTTTGCAATAAGTAGTTCAGTCAACAATTTTTAAATTTTAAGTGTATCTTTTGACTACTGCTTTAGTTAGAGGTGAGAGCAAGAACACGTGGCAGTGAGGTAGATGGAGATGCATGCTGACTTTATGACTGGTGAAGCTGGAATGGAGAGCAACAGGGCCTTCAATCTCATTCCTTGACCTTAGATCTTAAGGCCTGCTTCCCTGATTTATCTACCATACTGGAAGCATAGAAGATGGAACTAACAGATTTGGTTAGACATAGCAATAAACTCTGCATGCTCTGCTTATCATGTGGAGACCAAAAGCATAAGCTCTAGGTATCCCTTGCATCCAAAGCACACTCTAAGGCGACATGCTGCCTATTTATGTGCTATATATGTGTTAAATGTGCTAAAAAAATGTTAGGCACACCTAATCTCATCATTAAAATAACTGATGCATATGAGAGAATGGAAAGGGAGATTTGGATCCAGAGACACACAGGGAAAAAAGCTATGTGAAATTAGAGGCAAAAGTTGAACACCTTTTCCTGTATTTCTTTCCTATCTTTATATTGTATTTGGTGCAATGTCTATTTAAATTTTTCACCCAGTTTTTAATTGGATTTCATGTTATCTTGTAGCTAAGTTTTGAGAATTCTTTATATATTCTTGACTCAAATCCTTTATCGGATAATGATATGCAAAGATTGTATTCCAGTGTGTGGCTTATCTCTTCATTCTCTTAATGTCTTTCTAAGAGCACACAATTTTAATTTTGAGACCAATTGGTAAATTGGTTTTTAATGGATTTTTTTATGTCATATAAAAAAAAAAATCTCTGCCTAGCCCAAGGTCATAAGGATTTTCTCATATTTTTGTCTACTAGTGTTTACTGTATTATTGCAGGCTTTAAATTTAGTTTTCTCACTCATTTTGAATTTTGTATATAAATACAAAAATCTAATTGTCCCTGCACCTTTTATTGCAAAATCTATTCTTTCTCCCTGTACTGCCTTTGTACCTTTGTCACAAAGGAGTCCAGAGTGTATGGGATCCCCAACTGCCATCCTGGGAACACTCTACCCTGTTGCGTGGATGTGTCAATGAATGCATTGGTATCATACTTTTGATTATCATAGCTTTATAATAATTCTTAAAATCAGGTAGAATTAGGCTTCCAACTTTGTTCCTTTTCAAAGTTGTTTTCATAATTCTAGGTCCTTTGCTTTTCTATAAGAAATTTAGAGACAGCTTGTCCACGTCTATAAAAACAAACAAACAAACAAAAAAACAAACTGGTGGCATTTTGATCAGAACTGAAAACATCTATAAATTAAGTTGCAGAGAATCAAAAACATCAAGTCTTTAGAACCATAAACATTTACTTAGGTCTTCTTTCTCTCAGCAATGACTAGTTTTCAGGTCTTTCATGTTTTATCAAGATTTACCTCTAAATATCCTCTATCCTTATGCTTTTATTAGTAGTAATCTTTCTTTGTTTCAATTTCTGATTGTTTATTGTTTGTATACAACTAACTTTAATATACTGACCTCATATCTGCAAGCTTGCTCACTAATGCTGTTAACTTTCTGGTAAATTACACGGGATTTTTCTACATGGACTGTCACATTCTCTGAAAAGACAGTTTTACTCTTTCGTTTCTGGTCTAGGGGTGTCTTTTCATTTTTTCTTCTCTGACTGTACTAACATTTCCAGTACAATGCTAAAAAGAACTGAAGAGATTAGACAGCCTTGTCTTCTTCCAGATCTTATGTGAAATTATGGAACACATTTAGTTTTTTAAGTGCAATGTTAGCTGTTACTTTTTTATAAATGCCCTTTATTAGGTTGAGGAAAAAAATTTTTTTTTTTTTTGTAAGG